TCACTATTTGATTTAGCTATAAACATAATTTTGTTTGATTTTTGACGATGTTTTAATAAAGAATTTGAGTCTTTAAATATTAAGTTGAGTTTGTTGTATGCAGAGACAAGAAATTTACGATCAGTCATGATCGTGGGCTCCACTTGTTATAATAAATGTACTTATTACAGGTTTATGCTGATGAAAAGTATCAAATATTAAACATCAAAAGTTCAACTGGTGGAGCTAACAATAAGATTTTTACGACTGAAACCATTTATGATTATCAATTAGGACTTGTATATGAACTCACAGAAGAAGGAAATTGTTCAGTTTCTCCAATGAAACTATCAGCACCAAGTTTAGTTCAAGATTCATCATTGGGTTATGACGTCTTTAAACTTGATTTGAATCGATTGCTCAACTTTGATTTGAATTACCGCTATTTTGGACCAGCACTTTTTGTAAGACCATTGTTGGTGCTTTTAATCATGATGTAACAATAAGTTGATGTTTATTTTAGGATGAACGGAATGGAATCGGAACACAAGCTTGGCAAATAAGTCAAGAAAATGCGAAAGTCGAGGAAAAGACATATCCATATGTCGTTACTACTCAGTATTTCAACAGGTTGACGGTAAGTTTAACCCGATTCAATGAAAAAACTAATCTTATTGGCATTAATAATAAATTTGTAAATGTTGTTTTCACAGGATATAACTTCTGGCTACAATCTTATCGGCACCAAAATCAATGCCTATGACACCAAGGTAAGTATTGTGAAGGGTTGTTCGAAGTTAAAGTTTGTTAGCTATTAACTCTCAAAATTATATGCAATTGTATAATATTGAGCTAGATTATTCAATCGATGATAAAATCAGATAATCTAAAAGGTCCTTTATCAAAGCTCATTTTTAATAGCTTCGTGAACCTCGCATTTCCAAAACACAATATTAAGAATCAATAATATTTTTGCATCTTGTACTCGATTCCCAAGTCAAGATTCATTCTGGTTTTTTGCGTTAAACATCTAACATATTATTATATTATAATATTAACATAGACTAGACAATCTTAATAACGTCAGCGTTAAAAAATGAAATGTCGAATTAATATTTCAATAAATTTTACAGTATAAATTAAATGCTTCAAGTTCAACTGAATACTTCTTTTATGGACATGAGATAAGCGCATCAGAATCAACAAGAAAGTTTAATGTTCAAAACTGCTATCCTGATCCTGCATCGAGAAAGACTATTGCAATTTATTTCACCTGTAAAGGTTAGTATCAAATCACGATTTAATTTCAATAATCTTGTCACTTGAAAAGTAAACGAATATTTTTATTTCTATTTCAGATATTTCTTGCGATTACTTTGATCAATATTATTACCAATTTCAAGATAAAGTTAAAGAATCACTAGTCAACTCTGGAACAATTGCAGCTTCGAGGATCTCAAGCATTGAACCAATATTCAATTCCGATGAAATGATTATTTACATTACGATTTTGGACTTTCCAAGAATAAAAAGTAACGAATCTTTACTCAAAAATGTCCATCAATAAGTCACAATAAGTTAATTTACTAATATTTCTTTTTTGCTAAATAGATGCATTCGAGATGCGAAATATGAAGTTAAATGAACATGCTTTAACGTCAGCGTCAAAACCCATAATTGATGGCAACGAAGAAGATTGTTTGATGAAAAATTCTTATAGATATGAACCTTTCGAGTAAGTACTTGCGCTTAAGTCCAGTAAATATTGATTCAAGTTTAAAAATCTTTTTAAACAACAACAGAGCCATTGCATTCTGTAAGACTTTGGATGGATATTTGTGTCAGAGAATCGATGGCGAAAACGTAAAGCTTATGGAAGATCACGATAATGGAGTTTCTTGTTCAGTTTTCATGACTCCATTGAAGAACTTATTTCGCTATAGTCAAGAAATACCTTTGAAAAACCTTCATGAGAGACTCAATCACATTAGCATTTCATTCATTTCGCCTGAGAACAACAAGATGTTTACCTTTACCCCATATCATGTTGCGGATGCAACAAAAGTCAATGACAACGAACACGATTCGTTATTTGATTCAGTCTTTAGAAATATTAAGTTCGTTGAGGAAAAAATGAAGACGATATCAGTTACTGGCGCTACTGATTCGAGTTTTTGTTACCGAAAATGTGCCAATTCAGACGAGAATAATTGTAATTCATTCTCGTTCTGTGTTTATGATGATACAGTTGAATGTCTTGTGTCTACCAATGAAAATATTTCACCTCAAACAACATCTTCTGATGCCTCATGTATCACCTACTTAATGGACAATCTAGCAAAATTTAAGAAAATTCCGTCCAAAAGATTCACCGATAATCAAAATACTGTATCATTCGATAGCTCTCTCGGAAAATGTAATAGCAAACAAGAAAAATTGAATAACAATCAAATTGGAAAGTAGTGTTGCAACAATATCATCGATACAATAAATAATATCGATAACAAAGCTAGCAATATTTATCGATAAGTCCGACAATACTATCGATAACTAATATTATCAAAAAATCTTACGTCCAGCTACAATAAAATGTTTTTTTCTGAAGCGAGTCAATAATTAATGAAGAATGCACAGGTTAATGTTAATAAACTAATGTTTCTAAGCTCACTGCCTGGTTCTCTGATTAAGTTTTCAATCTGCAATTCAGTCAATAGAAATCTAATAATCTAATCTTACCTATTTTTTCATATTAAATTCTATGAAAATAACAATATATTGCAATATTTTTCAATATTTAACGATATTTTTCAATAACAATATCATCAATAAGTATCGATAAGTACTCAAACAATATTTTTCCTATCGATAAATAACTTTTTTCAATATTTTGCAACACTATTGGAAAGGAAGATAAAGAAGTAACTACAGAAGAGAAAGGAACTCAGATAGAGTCTGATGCTGCTAGCCTTATGAGTTGTGAATCTTGTCCTACCTGTTGTAAATCGTTGAAAACAACGGATGATAAAGGGTTGCAACATCTTGAAACTTTCCAGCCTTATCAAATGCATCTTGGTAGACCAATATTGATTCCTGGTGTAATTGAGGATAAGCGTACACCTAATTTGCCTATTCCAGTAAAGATTCCAGTGGTTCCCAATTTATCATCCCATAATATTGCCAGTAACAAGCATAACAAGCATGTTAATAAGAATACTCGGGAAGAGAAGGAAAACATTTACAGTATAATAGGACCGACAACGACCATGTATACCACCAAAGCCAATCTTCATCAATGTTAATCCAATAGTCAGAATTATGTAAAATACATTTGCGTCGATTGTTCAATGTTATTAAAGTTTTCCCCACATTCACTAAACACTTAATCTGGAAATTATTAGCTATTATTTAGACAAATGCTCAATAGAGGGCAATACAAGTTATTGAATAATCTGGATTAAAGCATCCAAACGAGACTGTCAGTGAATCAAGTGAATCTATGATCAGAAGGTAACATTTTTAACTTTCATTTTATTTCAAGTTTGCTTTTCCATAGGAAATATTTTCTACTCCAAGTGTAAACCATCGAAAATATTTTTATTGCAATTAATTGACCAAATCGTCACAAGCCAGTTTAATGGAAATGGGTGTCATCTGATTGGTGTTTAAGTGAAAAATCTCAACTCTTCTACTACTTTCAGTTGCTTAAAAAATATTTCAAATAATTTTTTCGTCTTTTACCGTTTAACGAGAGTAAACTTCATCTTCTTCTTTAATAGATGTGTCCATTAATATCCAGTTAACAATTGGAATACCCAGAGTGCCTGTGATAACTGTAAAGATGAGTACAATGGCAATGTCATTCATTATGCAACAGTTTATGCCGACCATTTTGTGATTTTTTCAACTCATCAAGAATGTGCTTATGACCATTTGGTTGTGTTATTTCGGGTTAATTTAAGATTAAATAGTGGCTTACATTAATTGACGCCATTGGATGTTTTACTAGTCAATGGTAAATATTGAAAATAAACTTATTTCTCTTCGAATTCTTCTTTCTTTTAATGTTTACTTTCTTTTTTTGCTTTCTTTCCTCAGTTACAAAAATAACTCAAGAATCTTCATCTTTTATACTTCATGGAATGGATTGATGAGATCCATGAATGCTGCTGAGCTCTTGTTACCAAAATTTTCAAATAACCACTAATTGGAAGTTGGCCAAATGTTTTCTTACTAACAAACGACTGGCAAAAAAATAAAAGATTTACCTTCTGAAAGTAAAATCACGAAAAGTGAAGCGTCAATAGAAGTGGTACTTTTCATATCGGTCAATTGACTCAACACCCGATTCCTTCATTTTAACCAGATCACATTCAATTGGAAACTCAATGTCACTGTTTCTTGCATTCAATTGAAGTTTAGATTGCTTTAAATTATTTTGTAGACATAATCGTATTCATCTCTTGAAATTGTTTCCTCATGACACCGATTTCTTGACATTATTTTTGCATCTGTCAAGTATAATAAGAGCTTTTTAATGGACTGCTTAACCAATTATTTTGTGCTATGCTGATGGCTACTCTTTTGGTGTTACAATGTCTTCTAAAAGCTATGGATGTATTTTACCAAAGTTTTCATCTTCCAAGGTTTCACCCAAAATTGTCTCTCCAGGCTTAGATCCACCAAACGATCATCCAACCCATTCAAATCACCAGCAACAGCAACAGCTGCAACATCAGCAGCAACAACAACAGCAACAATTGCAGCAATATATTCGTCATCATCGCCATCCAAGTCATCGTCGTAAATCAACCAAAGTAAACTCATTGCGATTAAACATGATCAATATGGGTTTAATGCCTATCGACGTTGAAACTGTGAAAAAAGTGTTACCCAGAGGACCAATGGACTTTACTTCTTTTCAAAAACATCGTCGTATGTTTGAAAAATATCGAGCTTTATTATCATATGAATTTGGGGTAAGCTTTCACGAGTTCATCTCCACTTCCATCAGCTCTAGTAATCAGTGATATTTCAT